GAAGGATGGTTATTGCATTTCTTACATTGGTTCTGATCTCATTCATTCATTCATTCATTCATTCATTCATTCATTCATTCAATTTAAAAGATCACCCAATTTCAGTATGACTCTGGATGGCTTCTAGAGTTAACAATCAAAAGAAAAAAATATGTGATTTTAGGGCAGTATTTCTCAACCTTGGCAACGCGAAGAGTGATGAACCTCAACTCCAAGAATTCCCATTTTGGGTGGCTTGGGAATTCTGGGAGTTGAAGTTCACCCTGCTTCAAGTTGCCAAGGTTGAGAAACTCGGCTCTCGTGAGACATTCAAATAAATAATGCGGAAGCCATCACAGCCATTCATAGGGTAGTAATTCTTCCCAACTCTAACTTGATCCTCAACCAAAACTTGGAGTCTTTGAAATCTTGGGCAATGGATGCTTACTCAGTCGTCCAAAATTAAGGAATTGTTTCGATAGGCGTGCCATCAAAGAATTCTCAGAAATTAAAATAGGTTTCCTAACATCCTTGTTCAGGTTGTAACATGACGGTTTTCTATTTTAAAAGGCCCTCGTGAATTGTACAGATCACCAGCTGGGATAAACAGTATGAAAGTCTAATGATGAATAATGATATATTTTAGCTACGCCTGTCTTGAGACAGCCTCTGTATCAGTCTTATATCTGAGACAGATGGGATTCGAGGATGTCTGTCTGTCTGTCTGTCAATCAGTCAATCAAAGAAGCTCAACTGAATAGCGAGGAATTGATTTGTCAGATACGACCGTGCCTTGAAAAACCAACATTTTAGAATTTGTACTCCACCTCGGAAGAAAAAGAGCCCATTTTGAGAAAACAATCTACCTTTGAGGAGTTACTAAAGCTGGCAGAGACAACATCCTCCCACAGTTTTGGGTGGTGCGATTTGTGAACGCAGCTGTGAACATTTGCGATCGTGGTTTATGCATGCGAAAGAAGCTAACTGCGGTAGGCTCAACAAAGCTTAAACAAATCGTGGCTCACCGCAATGTTTAGAAACAGATCTCCACTCTAGCTTCCCTTATCACTTGCTCACTCCTTAAGATGTCCTATATTGGATTAGAGCAATGTGTTCTCCACAGAGCTGCCAATCAAGATGGTTAGGAAGTAACCGTTCTAGACTGCTGATCCAATCTAGACTCTCTAGGTCTAGAACAAGGGTCACTAACTTTTCGGAACTCAGGGACCACTAAATTCATAATTTAAAATCCCACGGACCACTAATATGATCTGCCTAATGACCGGCAGGGTGGGCGTGGCTAGGTGGTCATGTGACTGAGTGGGCATGGCCAACTCGATGTCACTCACATCAAGGGCACCTCGCCAGCCTCTACTCACCCCTCCCAGTCACTCCTTGCCTCCCTGCCTGGGCTCCGTAGGGCCCCAATAAGGAAGCAGTTGTTGGAGCTAAGCAGCCACCATGAGAAAGAGTTGGCAAAACAGCTCAGTTCTAATAGGATCTGGTCAAGAAGGAGGCTCAGCAGAAGCACCTCACTGAGGACTAGGAGCATAGGCTTTCCAAGCAGAGGGAAGACCTGCGGGAGTGCAAGGCCAGATACCGGCGCCTGGAGGCTCAGCGGGCTGAGATGGTCAGCCAGTTCCAGGCCATGACGCAGTCCCACTGGAACGAGGCTCTCCGGCTCTTCGACACCAGTGGCCCTTCCCTCCAGCCTTCGCCCAAAGCCCCACACCAGGAGGCCGAAGCAGACCCCAAGTCCGAATTTCTGCCCCCCTCCGACCCACACAAAAAGTCCCCGAAGGGGGAGACTCTCTGCAGCAACACAAATGTTCATTGCACGTTTCCGTCCCAGGGGCCGCAGTCTGAGGACCTCTGATTTAGTGCAATATAAAAAACGCAAATAATTTTTCTGCGGACCACCAAAATATTCTCGCGGACCACCAGTTGGTGACCGCTGTTTTAGAAGATTCTCTAGGTCTAGATCAGGTCTAGATTCTATAACGAGATGGTAGTTTCTCAACAAATTCAACCTTTTCCTAGTTTGTTTCCAGGATCGGTTCAAAAGCCTTCTGAACAAATTCTCGGCTTATTGTAAGGACTCCACAAACTGGTAGCGTTTAGAAAAATTGAACTCGGTGTTTTACACAGGTCTTGTTTAATCTGCTAAATCGTGGTGATTCCTAAGAGACCTGAGATATTGTTTAAATTGGACATGCACAGTAGGGCTGCCTCTGTCTCTATAATACATTTTTAATGCTTTTGCGAGAATAAGTCAGAGTTGCACGGAGGGGAACGCCTTCCTTTTTGATACTCCAGCTTGCCGCGCAAGGGCAACGTTGAGTATATTATCCTCGCCCGAGTAACCATCTCTTATTCCAAGCAGAACGGTCCTACCCCTTTGACGCTAACAATTAATCTGCTAGTGATTTCTCGGAGATCTATATTGCTGCCTTTAGCAATATAGTGCAGATTTCTCCGATCTGGTTCCGTTGCAAAGGGAAGTTGGGGAAGGAGGCTGGAAATTTTATTTATTCTATTTATATCCTGCCTTTATTATTTTTACAAATAAATCAAGGTGCTGAACAGATCCAACACACCTTCCTCCTATTTTCCCCACAGCAACAACCTTGTGAGGGAGGGTTGGGCTGAGAGAGACGGACTGACCCAAAGACACCTAGCTGGCTTTCATGCCTAAGGCAGGACTAGAACTCACTACCTCCTGGTGATTGACCTAAAATAACCCAATTGGCTTTTATGCCTAAAGTAGAATTAGAACTCACAGTGATTGGCCCAAAGCCACTCACCTGGCTTTCATGGCTAAGGTGGGACTAGAACTCACTGTCTCCTGGTGATTGGCCTAAAGTCACTCAATTAGCTTTTGTTCCTAAGGCAGAACTATAATTCACCATCTCCTGGTGATTGGCCCAAAGCCACCCAGCTAACTTTCATGGCTAAAGGCAGGATTAGAACTCACAGTCTCCTGGTGATTGGTCTAAAGTCATCTAACTGGCTTCATCTAAAGTGGAACTAGAACTCACAGTCTCCCAGTTTCTAGCCCGGTGTCTTAACCACTAGACCAAAATGTTGTCTCCATCACTGGATCTCATTCCTTGATGGCCCAAAGAATGAGTTGACAATGTTGGCATGAGTAAAGTAAAGGCTGTCTTAGCAACATCTGGAGGAAAGCTATGGGGTAGAACTATCTCTTAGAATGCAGGGCCATAAAAGATCATTTTCAGAGCAACCCAGATGAAGGGTTCCGATGTAGGAGAGCTCTGATCAATCCAGGTAATGCAGCAGTTCGGCAAAATGAAGCAGCGTTTGCAAGCCAAGGAAAGAAAGAATAGGATCAAGACTTTTCAAATTACTTTATTTGTGGGCTCCTTGGTGCTCTCTGAGCCTTGTGGTTTCCTTGCAGATGTTTCATTATCCAACTAGAGAACATCATCAGTGCTATAAAGGGAGTGCTCTCGGTTTATATACAAGTGACTTGCTTTATCTGTGTTGATGGGAATTTCTTGGTGGTTCCTTGATTAGGCTGTGGTTTACCGCTTGATTATATGTCTGAATTGGTAGTTCCTTGGTTGGGGTTTTGTATGATTGGGTGTTGATTGGGTATTGCCTTCTGGTTCTTTCTCTTGCCTCTAGCATTGTGGCAACCCGGATCGACTACTGCAATGCTCTCTATATGGGGCTGCCCCTGAAGTCCACTCAGAGGCTTCAGCTGGTGCAGAATGCGGCCGCGCGGGTAGTAATGGAAGTGTCCCGACACTCTCATTTACACCTCTCCTGCGGGATCTGCATTGGCTACCGGTTGCCCTCTGGCTGAGATTCAAGGTGCTGGTAATTACCTATAAAGCCCTACATGGCTTAGGCCCGGGGTATTTGGCGGACTATCTGCGGCCAGCGACAGCTCCCCGTCGCCCGGTGCGTTCTCACAGGGAGGGCCTCCTTGGGGTGCCGTTGGCCAGACAATGTCGGCTGGCCACTCCTAGGGGGAGAGCCTTCTCTGTGGGCGCACCTACCCTGTGGAATCAGCTCCCCCTGGAGCTCCGGGTGACCCCTGACCTTCGCTCTTTCCACCGTGACCTTAAAACATGGTTATTTCGCCTGGCTGGTTTGGACTGAAGGGATTTTAAAGGGGAGTTTTAATGGTCTTTTTATAATCTTATTGGGTATTTTTAACATTGATTTTGCTTGTTTTTCTTGTTGTGAGCCGCCCTGAGTCCTTCGGAGATAGGGCGGCATACAAGTTTAAATAATAATTAAATAAATAAATAAACTGTCAGCACTTCAAGCTGCATTTACTCTAGTGCTGACATAAGAAGGAGAAGCGGAGGCGTCTGGAAAGGGACGTTTGACTTTTCACCTACTTATTTTCCCTGGAGATAATATCCCCTAGGAGATGGGATGGGAGGGGGGAAATTCCTTTGAGCTGGAGCAGTAGATTAGGGGTGGAATGACTTGGAAGATGGCCAATGAGTGCAGGGGAGTGGAGAACGGAAAGGGAGGGTTTTGGGTCTGGAAGTCAGTGTTGGCTTCTATGGAGTCGGATTAGAATGTTGTGCTTAATAAATAGGAGTTTTTCTTCAAAGACTTTGTTTGAAATGCAATTTATTTGAGACGACCTCGAAACCTGACATAAACCTTCACCCTCCCTAGATGTTCTAAAGCTGTGTTTCTCAACCACAGCAACTTCAAGATGTGTGGCCTTCAACTCCCCAAATTCTCCCAGGAAACACATTTATCAGAAATGATGTAAGGTCTCATGCTGAATGGGGTGGGGTGGGGGTTGGACTAGATGACCTATAAGGTCCCTTTTCCAACTCTGTTAATCTGTAAATCCGAAAGAGTTCTGGATTCTGCATTATTGGCTCTTCTACTTTATTACCCACTTCTGAGAATACAAATTCTTCCAAGGGTACTAGCAAAAGTTTTCCCTTGGGGCAACACCTTTCTTTTGCCCGCTGTAAAAACGTAGCTTTCTACGAAAGCAACTCAAGAAGATGACGACAGTGAAAGAAAGTGGAAAAACATCTTTATTTATCTCGTACGTCTATATTTTACATGCTTGCTTGTTTTTCAAAATAGGTATTTTCAATACCTTTTTGAAAGGTATTGGAGGAGGCGAGGAGGGATGGCTAATTATACAAAAGTACAACAAAATGCAAAGCAAGCCATTTAATAATTAGTTAAAACACCATTAAAATTCATCCGTGGTACAGACTCCTTCTAATGAAAGCCCCCTGTTTCCAGATTCTCCGAGGCTGGATGAGATCATCCTTACATATTATTAATGGATATCAGTAGATGTCAGAGAGAAAAAAATTCAATTGATTTTTCTTGGTGAAAAGTTCCAAATTTCTGATGGTGATAAGGACAATCCAGCTCAGGTGCATATGCAGTCTGGATTTTACTAACTAGATTCATCACCGGCTTAATTTATACAACACAAATGTTCAAAATATCAAGTTATACATCATCATCAGTAAGGACAACAAATATTAACATCTCCTCCACCTATGTTATGATTTCAACCTTATAAGAGCTACTTAAAGCAAACGGGTCCATCTCTCCAAAGCTATTTAGTGACTATTTCAATGGTTTTTCTTCCAAGGTTCTACAGATGACGATGTCCAAAATTGTTGCATCCACTGCAGGGATGTTGCAAGCATCATCGCTAAGTTTTATTCCTCATTGTCTCGGCCGCCTTATCGTGGGACTAACTTCAGAACGATTGGTTTCTCCGGGACTAAGAATGCTTGGTTGCTCATGACCAGAGGAATCTGCGGGAGAGAGAAAGAACGGAGAAAGAAATTAGCAAAAACGGGACAACCCAACCCAAATGTTTTTGTTGCATGCAGAAATAAAAATGTGTTTTTCTCTGTAGCAGGTCATTGATTTCATAAATGCAACACATTATCGTTTTTTTATGCATAGCATAAAGGTAAAAAAAAATGATATATCCAGTGTTATCTTCATTTTAGATGTCAAAAGGGTTTTGTGGCTCCCGGTGTTTTCTTTTCGGTGGGAAACGGGTCCGAATGGCTCTTTGAGTGTTTAAGGTTTGGTAGTACAGTGGTCTAAAGCACCCTGTTATTAAGACCAGCTGCCTGCAATTACTGCAGGTTCGAATCTCACCAGGCTCAAGGTTGACTCAGCCTTCCATCCTTTCTAAGGTAGGTAAATTGAGGACCCAGTTGTGGGGGCAATAAGCTGACTTTGTATAAATATACAAAAGGATGAAGGCTATTGCTTAGCGCATTGTAAGCCGCCCTGAGTCTCCGGAGAAGGGCGGCATATAAATCAAATTAAAAATAAATTTTTAAAAAAGGTTGCCGACCCCTGGACTAGAAGATCTCCAAGGCCCCTTCCAACTCCGTTAACAGATCAAGTCCAAATCTATCTTTCTCACCGGTGTTTCTTTGCAGACTTTAAAGGAGAAGTGTTGCATAATGACGGCAATAGCAACTTTCATGGTGACCAACGCAAATCTCATTCCGAGGCAATTCCGGGGTCCAGCTCCGAAGGGAAGGTATGTGTAGGGATCGATGTTCTCTTTGTTTTCTTTGCTGAACCTGGGTGAACAGAGGAAGGAAAGAATGTCAGGAGCTGTAAGAAGGAGCTAGGACAAGGGACCTCAAACTTTTAAAACAGGAGGCCAATTCACAGTCCCTCAGACTGTTGGGAGGGGGCGGAGCAGCTGGGTGGGCGTGGCTAGGTGGGCGTGGCCAATTTAGCAGTCCAGAATTCACAGTAACTTAATAAAAAGGTTTATTTATTTATTTATTTATTATTTATTATTTAAATTTGTATACCACCCTTCTCCCGAAGGACTCAGGGCGGTGAACAGCCAAAATTAAAATACATACAATATAAAATTTAAAATAATTTAAAAAACAGAATTAAATCGAATTGGCTTCCCCCAAAATTAAAACCCATTACCCTTTAAAATAACCCATTAAAATTTTAAGCCAGCCCAGCTTGCTGAAATAGGAAGGTCTTCAAAGCTCGACGGAAGGTCCGGAGGTCCGGGATCAGTCGTATTCCTGGGGGTAGCTCGTTCCAGAGGGCGGGTGCCCCCACAGAGGAGGCTCTCCCTCTGGGGGTCGTCAGTCGACATTGCTTGACCGACGGCACCCTGAGGAGACCCTCTCTGTGGGAGCGAATTGGCCGGTGGGAGGTTATCGGTGGCAGAAAGTGGTCTAGTAAATAACTGGGCCCTAAGCCATGGAGCGCTTTAAAGGTGAGAACCAATACCTTGAAGCGCACCCAGAAGACCACCGGAAGCCAGTGCAGCTTGCGCAGGCAAGGTGTCACATGGGAGCGCCATGTCGCCCCCATAATTACCCGCGCGGCCGCATTCTGGGCCAGCTGGAGCTTCCGAGTGCTCCTCAAGGGGAGCCCCATGTAGAGAGCGTTGCAGTAGTCCAGGCGAGAGGTGACAAGGAGTCGGGACAAGGGACAAGGAGTCTGCTTCGTGGTTTGGGGAGGTCTAGGTCAGAACAACAAATGAAAAAATCTGGTTTGCTTGTACCTCTCAGGTCTGAACTCTTCTGGTTCCGGCCAGTATTCTGGGACCTGATGCAGAATGAGGGGTGGGATCATAATCACGGTGCCTTTGGGAATCGTCATCCCGTTGATTTCAACATCCGTCTTGCAGACTCTTTCAATACGCCCTCCGAGAGGATATATCCTTTGGGTTTCGTTCAGCACCATGTCAAGGTACTCCAGTTGCATGATGGCGTCATAGGTAACAGGTGCCTTCGCGGGATAATTAAAATAATTAATTTTCTTTCGTATCCGGTCCACCTTTCTTCTCCCAGATTGAGGCAAAGATGCCCATTTCCACGTTGACTCAATGTTGGTCAAAATATGGTAACAGAGTTTCCTAACACTGAAATCAACTCTGCATTAACAGAAACTCCGGACTCTGTTGGATAACGGGGGAGGGCGTTTTTTGCCCTTCCTGGGCTCTGGAGGCTTTCCTCGAGCCTCCAGGAGGGTGAAAACAGCCTCCCCAGGCTCTGGAGGCCCATCCCAAACTTCTGGTAGGCCCGTTTTTCACCCTCCCTGAGCCTCCGGCACACTCTGCACTTACCTGCATCCAAAACAGGCCGTGTGGGGACTCCTGGGAGGGGAGGGATGGGCGGGGTGGGGCGGGGCCAGCCAGGAGTGGGATTTGGGGGTTCTCCAAACTGCACAGAATCTTAGCTAGAGGTTCTTCCGAACCCCCAGCAGCCCACCCTTGTCATTACCTTATTGGGTAGAACAGTATCTATTTCCTCTTGCAGCTTCTGCTGAACATCTGGGTGAGTGGCTAAATTGTAGGCCATGTAACCAAGGGAATTACTGGTGGGTTCATATCCAGCAAAAACGAAGATAAACGCCTGGGCTAGAATTTCTTTATCGCTCAGGCCTGCAAAATAGAAATAAATTTTTTTAAAAAATAGGGTGATACAGTACAGAAAATTTACTGCGGGCAATCATTATGACTTCGTACCAAAGATAATAATGGACCTTGCCTCGTATTGTTTTATGTACTTCGAAACACAGCTAAAAGGTGTCAAACTTCCTAAGGTATCATAGAACAACGTTGATCGATGCTGACTTTGCTTGAAAGAAAGAAAAAAAAATCACATATGCTGTCTTTTTTTGTTGTTGTTCTTTGAACCATCCGTTTCTTGGAAAAGAACTTCTCGCTTGAGTTCAAGATAGACTTTGGAGGGCCCATTGATTGAGACTTGCAAGAACTACTGAGGTGGGGGTGGGGGGGAAGTCTTATCTTGCCAGGTCTCCGTAAGTCCAAGGTTCTTTAAAATATGATGCTAAGTTGTGGAAATTAGCGTGTGATCTACCTCAGCGATGGGGTTATCATGGAGAAAATCTGTCTATGGGGCTGCTGAAAGATGATAATGACTTGATGACACATAATCAGTCAAGTAGGTGGACTCTGTGGACGTTGGCCACAGAATTGAGATGGTGGGTGTTAAGCAAATCCCTTCCAGGGAACCCCATTGCACATATAACAGATTTGGAAGGGACCTTGGAGGTCTTCTAGTCCAACCCCAAGTGGCTGTTCAGTCTCTTAAAATTTCTTGGCTGTTTACGACCATTAATTACAAATCGGTTAGCTAGGACTTCTCAATCCATCAATACAAATGCACCACAAAACTTAGAAAATGTGTAATGCTAAACGGGAAACGTAGGGACGCGGTGGCTCAGTGGCTAAGACGCTGTGCTTATCGATCGAAAAGTTGGCAGTTCAGCGGTTCGAATCCCTAGTGCCGCGTAACGGGGTGAGCTCCCGTGACTTGTCCCAGCTTCTGCCAACCTAACACTTCAAAAGCACGTTAAAAAATGCAAGTAGAAAAATAGGGACCACCTTTGGTGGGAAGGGAAGAGCGTTCCGTGCGCCTTTGGCGTTGAGTCATGCCGACCACATGACCACGGAGACGTCTTCGGACAGCGCTGGCTCTTCGGCTTAGAAACGGAGATGAGCACCGCCCCCTAGAGTCGGGAACGACTAGCACATATGTGCGAGGGGAACCTTTACCTTAAACGGGAAACGGGGCAGTATTACCTTTATATGAGTGATTCAGTCCATTGCTTGTAGAGTTTTTGCCATTGTTTACAGAGTCCTTCTTGTTGTTTTGGGAGTCAATCATCATCTGGAGGAAATCCACCCGGCTCTGTGAATCAAATGAATGGATCCATGAAAACCGACAAATCAAGCATGCAACTTGGGTGTCACTAAGCATTAAGGGAACAAAGATAGGGACAAAAATATGGGTAGCCAGTGGTATATTAACCATTAAGCAGACTAAGCACATGCTTAGGGCACCAGGCACCACAAAGTTGAGAAAGAAAGAAGAAAACAATGAAGATTTGTAAAAAGAAATGGGTATGGCTTATTTTGTGGGTGTGGTTTGATGGTCATGTGACAATTCTTTAGGATTTAGCAGAGGTACTGGTCTACCAGGCATTTAACTGCTTGCCGAGCTGTACTGGTCTACCCATTTGTTTTTGGAGGCACTGGTCTACCCATTTATTTTTCAAGCACACTGGTCTACCACTACACTGCCTTTTAACACTGATCAGCTGTAGGGCGGCCCTTTGAGGCCCCACGGCAAGAGTTTAAACAGTTTTTTTCCTTTTAGCCGATCAGCTGGGACTTGGGAGGCAGCGAATAGATTGGGGGAGGGGCCAAATAAAAGGTAAGAATAACACCGGGGGGGGAGGGAAGGCCCAGCTCCTGAACGGTGACCGTTACCGGTTCAGACGAACCGGGCCGAACCGGGAGGAACCCACCACTGGTACTTACCCCTTGGCCTTCCTTCAGTCGCGATTCCTTCATTTTTGAAAAAGATTTTGTGAAGAAGTTCACAGCTTCCCACGAAAAAGCGGTTAGGTTCAAGGCATTGAAAATGGGCATGAGTGCCGGGAACGTAACTGAAAAAGAAATTCATTTGTGAAAAACACCGCCATGTCCCTGGAGGAAAACAATATTTGATTATACATGTGTTTCGTTCCTTCGAGTACCCAAGGTGAGCAATGAATAAACATTAACAAGATTTATTCAAAAGGCCACGCTCTGCAAACGCCAATGGCCGTCAGGCGGGTGCATTAAGAAGCCTCTGGATTATGCAAAGATGCGTCCTTTTCGACAGAAATGCCGTGTAAGGTTGTCTTTGTATCACAGCAGGAGAAACTCAAAGCAGTGCCATTATCCCTCATTAATTGGGAGCAGGCAACTTGCCACCTTAGGTTCATACCTGCTGCTCGGTTTAATTTCGTTTTCAAAAAGCTCCCTGCAAAAAGATGAATCCAAACTGATCGGAAAAGGGAAACAGAAACAGCGACAGAGGAGGAGGTGGGCGAACGGACGAAAAGAGCTCCATCCATTTTGGCTTCAGTTAGAAACATCCATCGAACAATGAAATTACATCGCACCAAAACTCTAACCTAGGGGGTCCTCAAACTACAGCCCATGGGCCGGATACGGCCCGCCGAAGCCATTAATCCGGCCCACACGGGACCACAAGGCTGCCCCGCCCACATCGCCCCACCCGGCCGCCGGCCACCTTCTAGAAGCTGAGGCGGCCAAAAATGGGATGCGCGGAGGCCTCGGGAGGTCAAAAAACGGGCCTATTTTTGGGCAGCAGAGTGGTACTGGAGGCTGGGGAGGCCACAAACAGGACACCCGGAGGCCTTGGGAGGCCAAAAATGGGCCCATTTTTGGCTTCCCCAGCCTCCAGAGAGAAGGAGAGGGAGAGAGAAAGAGAGGGAGGGAGAGAAAGACCCACACATACAAACAGAAGTCCCTCACACACACCCCAAGGCAGCCATATCCCTTCACTAACCTGATTTCCACCCCCAGGAGCATAACAAATTGAAGTTTTCATAGGAACGAAATTGTGTACACTGTTATCTATATCTACATATGTAAATAAATCAATATTAGAATTATATGTACAAAAGATAAATTGAAATAAGGGAGGAAAAAAATGGATGTGCAAGAAGTGTTTACCGATGCGAAATTGTTGAAAAGAAGAAAATTGTAAAAGAATCTTTTTTTGATTTCAAAAAAACAAAACAAAACTGTTTTAATAAAAATTATGCTTTAAAAAAAACAAAAACAAATTGAAGTTTAATTTGTGTGTATTGTTTAATGGACTGCTAAATTGGCCATGCCCACCCAGTCACATGACCACCGAGCCACAGCCGGTTCGGGGCTCCCCCCCCCCCAACAGTCTGAGGGACCGTGAATTGGCCCCCTGTTTAAAAAGTTTGAGGACCCCCTGCAGTCTAACCCTTTGGGCTATGCATGCAATCTCAGTTTCGATCACACAATCTTCTGTGAGTAGATTGCAATCAAGAGGGAGCATCTCTAAAGAGCCTTGGTAGTACAGGGGTTTAAGGCACCCTGTTATTAAGCTGGTTATTAAGACCAGCTGCCTGCAATTACTGCTGGTTCGAATCTCGCCAAGGCTCAAGGTTGACTCAGCCTTCCATCCTTTCTAAGGTAGGTAAATTGAGGACCCAGTTTGTGGGGGCAATAAGCTGACTTTGTATAAATATACAAAAAAGGATGAAGGCTATTGCTTAACGCACTGTAAGCCGCCCTGAGTCTCCGGAGAAGGGCGGCATATAAATCAAATTTAAAAAAAAAAAAAAAGAGAGAGAAGAAAGGTTTCCCATCTCCAATCTCAAATGCAGCAGAAGATCCTACCAACAGAATGAAACGGAGAAGCAAAATTTCTCCGGCCGAGTTAGGGAAGACTTCGCCGGATTCCAGAAAGCAGAACTTACATGCAAGAATGATCCGTGGATCGAAAGAACTGAACTTGGTGAGCTTCTTGATCTGCTTGACGAAAGGATCCTTGGGATTGTTCATGGAGTTGATGTCTATCCCGAAGGAAGTGCTGGTGACCACATCCATGCTGTAGGCCCCGAAGACGCTAAGAAGAAAAAGGAGAGCAACAGATGATCCAAGCTGCAGGGGTTTCGGTGACAAAGATTTAAGAAATCAAAACACGTGTAGCCAACACAAAAAAAACCACAGCTTCCTGATGGGGCCGGTTTGTTAAACATCAGTTTTGGCTCTGGAAATCCCCCACACATCTGGAGCACGTCAAGTTGAAGAACGTAGGCCTGATGTCACCAGCAGCAGCTTTCCAGGGTCCTGGATTGTAGCCTGACCCAGAATTGAACTGAGACATTCAACGTCCAAGGCTTGTTGCAGTTTGTTTAATACTTTGTAGGCTGCAGTTGGCTTGATGGCTCTCAAGTCAGAGAGAGAGAGGAAGGGAGAGAGAGAGAGAGAGATTGGAAGGATGGATGGATGGAAGGATGGCTGGATGAGACAGATGAGAGATGATATATATAGATGAGCGATGAGATAGATAGATAGATAGATAGATAGATAGATAGATAGATAGATAGATAGATAGATGGATGGATGGATGGATGGATGGATGGATGGATGGATGGATGGATTGGATGGATGGATGGATGGATGGATAGATAGATAGATAGATAATAGATAGATAGATAGATAGATAGATAGATAGAGATAGATAGATAGATAGATAGATAGATAGATAGATAGATAGATAGAGGTAAGTAGGTAGGTAGGTAAGTAGGTAAGTAGGTAGGTATGGATGGAGATAGACAGACAGACAGACATGGATGGAGATAGATAGGTGATAGGTAGATAGATAGATAGATAGATAGATAGATAGATAGATAGATAGATAGATAAGTAGGTAGGTAGGTAGGTAAGTAGGTAGGTATGGATGGAGATAGACAGACGGACATGGATGGACATAGATAGATAGGTGATAGGTAGGTAGATAGATAGATAGATACATAGATAGATGATAGATAGATAGATAGATAGATAGATAGATAGATAGATAGATAGATGAGAGAGAGAGAGATAGGTAGGCAAGTAGGTAGGTATGGATGGATGGAGAGACAGACAGACATGGATGGAGATAGATAGACAGATGATAGGTAGGTAGGTAGTAGATAGATAGATAGATAGATAGATAGATAGATAGATAGATAGAGAGATAGATAGATAGTAGGTAGGTAGGGATGGATGGAGATAGACAGACAGACAGACAGATAGAGATACACAGATAAGAGAGAGAGAGGGATACTAAAATGTCTCTATTTTGCTGCACAATTCCTCGAGTTCTTCAAATCCCTGGATTTTAATTTGCAGTTTTCTCTAGTATAAATATACTTAGCATTTGCAAACAAACCCCATTAATATAATGCCTTTTTCCTACATTGTTTTCATCCACAGATGCATTTTTGTCCAGATTTGTCCCAAGCCCGTGAAATGTATTGCGACGGTACACATTTTCAACGATAGTCACATTTTACTCCGGGTAGCAGTCGGGAAACGAGAAGCTGTGTTTCAAACACGGCATTACTAAGGCCGTCTCTCTCCCACCTCCCCATTTGTGACAGCGCTGGATAGTCTTCCTGCTCCGAAGAACTTACTCTTTCACATCTATGGGCTCGTCGTTTTCCATTTTCTTCTGAACGTTTTGAATTAAAATCTCCCCGTAGTGTTTAATGATGGGAAACATCTGAAAAACAAAACCACGGTTTTAAACATTGATAGGCAGTTCCCTTTCTTAGCGGCTGGTGCGTTCCAACAAAGCCAAATGGCTGATTCATAAATAATTACACATTCAACTGTGATGCAGATAATGGCAGTCTTTCTTAAGTTTGATTGATGGGTTCCTCAAAATTTATTGTTCTTTCTCTGGGGCATTTTAGGGCTGAAATGGACAGAGCAGCTAATCTGGTCCAGGATCGATGTTCTTTGGAGATCTGTTAGGGCTGTATGTAGAACTAAATTTAAGATATATGGCCCTCACAGTCTTTATTTACTCAATCCAAATAGACCTGGAAGGGATCTTGGAGATCTTCTAGTCCAGCCCCTACTCCAGCAGAAGATCCTATCTATATCATTTCAGGCAAGTGACTGTGACTGTCCAGTTTCTTCTTAAAATCCTCCAGTGATGGAGCACCTACAACTTCTGGTGGCAAGCTGTTCCACTGGTTAATTGTCCTCACTCTTAGGAAGTTTCTCCTTAATTCCAGGTTGCTTCTCTCCTTGATGAGTTTCCATCCATTGTTTCTAATCTTGCCTTCGGGTGCTTTGGAGAACAAGTTGACCCCCCTCCTCTTTGGGGCAACCCTTCAAATCTTCAAGACTGCTAACCTGTCTCCCGTACTCCTTCTTTTCTCTAGACTAGCCAAACCCAAATCTTGCAACCGTTCTTCATACTCCTAAGCAAGTCTAGGATTGCCCTGCAAGGTCATCATAGGGTTAGAGAAAGAAGGAAAAAGACATGTCCCCTAAATAAACAATGTAGGAATTGCTCTTCCTATGACAGATGTGGGACACACTTTCCGATACTCCCAATTGGGATAAAAGATGGGAACCAGCTCTTCTCCCTCTTCCTAAAAGCAGAACATCTAAGAAAAGATCACTTCTTAGCTTCTGAAATTTCCTTTCTTCTCATTACCATTATCTTGGTAATGTAAAAGGGGACAATATTTTGAGGATCGCTGGTCACCTTATCCCCTCTCACTAGAGAGAAACTAGGAGCTCTTAAGAGGAAACCTTCTCCTGCTGTTGATTTCACAGTCAATTGTTGTACCGTTGGGTACGAAAAGAATATTTTAGAACATGCGTTCTTCAGATTTTGTACATTGGTCATGGATGGAACAGAAGAGGGATTGTTATTGTGACAACACTACATAACCTGAAAGAAGTACATAGTAGGAAGAGATGGCAAAACCTCCTTCAAGTTTTTGTTTAATAGCTGTTTCCTTCCTCCCTCCCTCCCTCCCACCCTTTCTTCCTTTTCTCTACCCCTTCCTTCTTCTTTCATATGTAGCTTCCTTCCTTCCTTCCTTCCTTCTTCCTTCCTTCCTACCTTTTCTTCCTTCTCTCTACTCCTCCCTCCCCCTCCCACCTTTTCTTCCTTCTCTCTACTCCTCCCCCTCCCTCCCTCCTTCCTCCCTCCCTCCCTCCCTCCCTACCTTCCTTCCTTCCTACCTTTTCTTCCTTCTCTCTACTCCTCCCTCCCTCCCTCCTTCTCTCCCTCCCTCCCTCCCTTCCTTCCTTCCTTCCTACCTTTTCTTCCTTCTCTCTACTCCTCCCTCCCTCCCTCCTTCCCTCCCTCCCTCCCTCCCTCCCTTCCTTCCTTCCTTCCTACCTTTTCTTCCTTCTCTCTACTCCTCCCTCCCACCCACCCACCTTTTCTTCCTTCTCTCTACTCCTCCCTCCCCCCCCTCCTTCTCTCCCTCCCTCCCTCCCTTCCTTCCTTCCAAAATTCAGCTCTAGCTTTGGGGCATGAAATGAAGCTTAGAGGAAACAACCTCTTTGAAGAAAGAAGTTGAGAAACGGAATAGAGAAAGTTCTCCGTTCTTTTAAGGTGTTTTTTTTTTTCTTGTTACCTCCTTCAGCTTCCCGCTGGTGAAGGTGGGGGAGAGCACAGTGCGAATCCTCTTCCACTGTTCGTCTTGGGACATAGAGACTGCATTTTTTAAGATGTCTGGGGCAGGGAAAGCCTAGAGGTCAGGAAGAAAACATTACACAATATTCAGATTTCAAAAACTCAGCCGTGTCTGAAGAAACTCTTGGGATGCAAAACATCACCGGATACCACGATGGTTAGGTGATAAATTCACCCCTATTGTCAGACTTCGATGCTATCTCAAAATAAATGAATTTCCAAACTGCCAATCTTTAAGGAAATCTTCTCTTTATTCGAGCACAGCAACCAGATCATGACTCGATGCGGACAAGACTGACCTTTTGCCCTTCAATCCCTCCCTTTCCGATCCCCAATTATCTGCTTCTCATTGGCTATCTTCCAAGTCACTCTCCTGACTTCTTGTCTCGTCATTTCACAGGAATGTTTCCCCCCCCTTTCATTTCCACGGAGACCGGGCTTCAAAAGGATTTAGCAGGCAAAAGTTCAGGGCTTATCTCCCTTTTCTATGACAGCACTGAGGTGCTGACACCTATTTTGGGGAGGTGAAGGCATCTACCACCTGCTCCCAACTGTGGCCCAACTTAAAACTGATCTAAGCAAAAATCTCAACCCAGACTCTTCTCTACGATAGAGAAAAAAAAACAAACCCCAAACTTCCTCTTCTTATCTTCTGATTTAACATATAGCCATATACTTTGCTATCTGATGGTTCAAGAAGCAAGAGACTTACTCGCCGGTTGGTAAAAGTAGTGTAGCATTCTTTCACTAGGACAGTCTTGATAATTGCAGGATCCAATACAGCAATAATAGGCTGACGGCCATCATAAATTCTGCATTCAAAAGGAAGAAGCACAAAGAGATGCCATAAGCATATATATATATATATATATATATATATTCATTCTCTGAGCTTACAGTGTAGCCTTTTCTACTTGGCCCCTCTTCTCTGAACTAATAGCGTAGCCTTTTCTACTTGGCCCCTGCACTGGTTGTTGACTAGATCTTCCATCATCCCCATCCATCATTTCTGAGGAGGATAGGATGTGTAGACTGGTATTGCTGAAGCATCCTGAGTTGGGGCAGACTTATTGTCATGGTAGTCTTTATGGAGTATCTAAAATGGAATGACCAATGATTATATGTTCAAGAAAACTTGAGCAATCAGAAAAGTTCCTAGTTGCTGATGAGTTCTCAGCTACACTTTTCTAGATGATGGAGTTGATGGAAATAATTTTTCTTCTTTAAAGACAGCCACTTGTACCAATACTCCATTCAGTTGCCCAACTCTCAGTAGACTTAACCTAACTGAGATCCCACAGAGGAATCAAGTCAACCTCAGGTCATGTTGAAAAGCTAAATTGGGTCATCAAGTTGTGTGGTTGCAACCTAGACAGAGAAGATGACAACATTCTGGCCAAAGGCAAAAAGGCAAACCACTTACTTCCTGTTGTCAAGACACCATGGATGAATATGTCCATGACCTAATCAGGAAAACATTTGACTCAAAGGACATTTTTACATTTACTAGTGGGTTACACAACCTCCAATGCAAGCAAGATGATTGAGGGACTGGAGGCTAAAACATATAAAGAAGAACGGTTGCAGGAACTGAGCATGTCTAGTTTAATGAAAAGAAGGACCAGGAGAGATATGATAGCAGTCTTCCAATATCTCAGGGGCTGCCCCAAAGAAGAGGGAGTCAAGCTATTCTCCAAAGCCCCTGAAGGCAGGACAAGAAGCCATGGGTGGAAACTAATCAAGGAGAGAAGCAACTTAGAACTAAGGAGAAATTTCCTGACAGGGAGGACAATTAACCAATGGAACGACTTGCCACCAGAAGTTGTGGATGCTCCAACACTGGAAGTTTTTAAGAAGAGATTGAATAACCATTTATCTGAAATGGTGTAGGGTTTCCTGCCTAAGCAAGGGGTTGGACTTGAAGACCTCAGGGGCTTCCCCAAAGAAGAGGGAGACAAGCTATTCTCCAAAGCACCTGAAGGTAGAACAAGAAGCAATGGATGGAAACTAAATCAAGGAGAGAAGCAATTTAGAACCAAGGAGAGATTTCCTGAAAGGAAGAACAATCAATCAGTGGAACAACTTGCCTCCAGAAGTTGTGAATGCTCCATCACTGGAGGTTTTCAAGAAGAGATTGGAAAACAATTTTGTCTGAAATGGGTCTCCTGCTGGAGCAGGGGGTTGGACTAGAAGACCTCCAAGGTCCCTTCTAGACCCTTCAAGAACAGAACTCTTGCTGTTTTGTTCTTTCTCACGAATGAAAATAGAGACGGGCCCACCGGAAATTCCTGCCAGAGATTATTTCGCGAGCCCTCCTGCCCTCCCTCTTAACTTTTCACGCCAGAGAAAGCTGTTTACAGTCTGTGCTTAGATCTGCTTACTTTCTAGAAAGGAGAGGTTTCTCTGCGCCTTTCACAGCCAAGCGGATAATCTCCCAGAAAAATCATATTTGAAAAGGGCAACTATTTGCTTTGTTGTCGCACCAGCAACAAAGCATCTTCCTGGCCGGGAGTTTATCGACAAAAAACCATTGTGTGTAGCTATTGTACAACCGGTCCAGCTTCCCTCCCTCTCCCCCCCCCCACCCCCCCAATAGATCTGTGAGGGGATGGATGGCTTTAAAAGACGTCAGAAATGAGCCGTGGAAAATACCCACCAGAGCTCCAAAGAGAAGAGAGGAACATCTGGATTTCTGGTTAATTCTATAATTTGGGACAGCCGTGGTAGCTATGAAAAGAGAGAGCCAAAGACCCTTGGAAGGCTAGAAATTTCGCAGGCATTTCTATAACCTTGTAAAAATATATGCATAATAAAGAAATGCTTAAACTTCACTTGGGACTATAAACTGCAACCTGTTTAAATAAATATTTTATCAAGCCGGTGAGAAGCAGAGTCATCGAACCTACTGATGAATATTCAGGATTGGTTGGTTTTTATTTTTATTGATTTGTTTCTTCCTTTCCTTTCCTTTCCTTTCCTTTCCTTTCCTTTCTTTCCTTTCTTTCCTTTCCTTTCCTTTCCTTTCCTTTCCTTTCCTTCTCCCACCTCCCTCCCTCCTTCCTTCCTTCTTTCTGTCCTTCTGTCTTCTTTCCTTCCTTCCCTCCTTCCCTCTTTCTCTTTTCTTTCTTTCTCTTTCTTTCTTTCTGTTTTTCAGTCTTCCTTCCTTCCTTCCTTCTTCTCTTCCCTTCCCTTCTTTCCCTTTTTGCCTTCCTTCTCTCTCCTCCTTCTTTCTCTCTCCTCCTTCCTTCCTTCCTTCCTTTCCTTTCCTTCTCTCCCTCCCTCCCTCCTTCCTTCCTTTTTTTCTGTCCTTCTGTCTTCCTTCCTTCCTTTCCTCCTTTCTTCTTTCTTTCTTTCTCTTTTTTCTTTCTGTTTTTCAGTCTTCCTTTCTTCCTTCTTCTCCTACTTCTCTCCCTTTTTGCCTTCCTTCTCTTCCTCTTTCCTCCTCCTTCCTTCTTTCCTTTCCTTCCCTCTCTCCCTCCCTCTTCTCCTTTTTTTCTGCTGTCTTCCTTCCTTCCTTCCTTCCCTCCTTTCTTCTTTCTTTCTTTCTCTTTTTTCTTTCTGTTTTTCAGTCTTCCTTCCTTCCTTCTTCTCTTCCCTTCCCTTCCTACTTCTCTCCCTTTTGTGCCTTCCTTCTCTCTCCTCCTTCTTTCTCTCTCCTCCTTCCTTCCTTCCTTTCCTTCTCTCTCTCCCTCCTCCTTCTTTCTTCTCTTTCTTTCTTTCTTTCTTGAATCCTTTCTCTTTGAATCCACCCGTAGTCTCTGTAGATCTGAGCTGAGAACTAGAAACTTGTAATCAATAGAGTGCTCACCTCCAGATCTTCCCGTATTTCTTGTAGCATTCACTGTCGAATTTTATAAATCCCTGGGAGGAAAAAAAAAAAAGTTTAAAGGCTTAGAAACAATGGATTTTGAGAGTTGAAGTCCACCAGTCGTAAAAGGACCACCCTTCCCCACCCCTGATCTAAAGGTTGAGTTGGCCCCTCTATCAATACTCACTTTGCGGTAATTCAAGAGTGTCCCAAAGAACGGCAATAAGGTTGGACCAGAAATCCCCACTTTGCTGAGAATTCGAAATGGCCAAACTCCGTATCTGGAAAGAGAAAGAAATGTGACCCAAGAGATGTTTGCTGAACTGTGTATTATTCAGTAAATCTTACTCAGGTAGCTGGAGTTTTTAAAACAATCACTCTGAGGTTCTTGGTGCTCTCTGAGCTGGGTTGTTTTTTGTAGACATTTCATTACCACACAAGGTAACATCATCAGTGCTAGATGGAAGAGGGGGAGAGGAGGAGGAGGAGGGGGACTGTGGGGTCCTTGGTGCTCTCTGTGCTTGGTGGTTTTCTTGCAAATGTTTCATTCCCACACAAGGTAACATCATCAGTGCTAGAAGGGAGAGGAGGAGGAGGAGGAGGAGGAGGAGGAGGAGGAGGAGGGAGGAGGAGGAGGGAGGAGGAGGAGGAGGAGGAGGAGGAGGAAAGGGAAAAGGAGGAGAATGGAGGAAAAGGTTAGGAAGGGAAGGGGAGGAAGAGAAGGAGGAGAGGAAGAAGAAAAGGAGAGGAGGAGAAGGGGAGGAGGAGGACGAGGAGGAGGACAAGGAGGAGGAGGAGGAGGAGGTCTGTTGGGGTCCTTGCAGACCTTTCACGACCCAACTAGGTAACATCATCAGTGCTAGAAGGGAGAGGGGTGCGCTCTAGTGGCTTGCCCTGTCAACCCCATTCCCTTCTAGCACTGATGATGTTCCCTAGTTGGGTCACGAAACATCTGCAAAGAAAACCACCAAGCACAGAGATCACCAAGGACCCCACCCTTTAACCCCGAACTTCAAATATTCTCTTCTTAAAAAAAAGAAATCACTTACTAACTAATTACAATGACTGAATTCATAAAACCTGCCGAGCCCGAACTGTGGAACCGTACAATATTTGATAGAATTTGATAGATTCACTGGTGATAAAGGGTCAATGCAATATCTCAGGACAAAGCTGTGGGACCTGTTCTTTCTAACCATAATAGAGGAAGCAAAGTCAGATGTCCAACTTCAAATTTCTCTCTCTCTCTCTCTCCCTCACTCTCTCTCCCTCACTCTTTCTCCCTCTCCCTTACTCTCCCTCCCCCCTCTCTCCCCCCTCTCTCTCCCTTACTCTCTCTCTCCCTCCTTCTCCCTTACTCTCTCCCCCTCTCTCTTTCCCTCCCTCCCGCTCCCTCTCTCTCTCCACCTCCCTCCCTGTCTCCCTTTCTCTCTCCCTCCCTCCTTCTCTCTCCCTTTCTCCCTCTCCCTCCCTCCCTCTCCCTCTTTCTCTCCCTCTCTCTCAGACTCCAGTCCCCTATGAGGCCCTCATGCAAATTTCTCTCTCTCTCTCTCTCTCTCTCCCCACCTCTCTCCTTCTCCCTTACTCTCTCTCTCCCTCTCTCTCTCTCTCTCTCTCAGACTCCAGTCACCTATGAGGCCCTCATGCAAATTTCTCTCTCTCTCTCTCTCCCCCCTCTCTCCCTCACTCACTCTCCCTCTCCCTTACTCTCCCTCCCCCTCTCTCTCCCCCCTCTCTCTCCCTTACTCTCTCTCTCCCTCCCTCTCCCTTACTCTCTCCCCCTCTCTCTCCCTCTCTGTCTCCTCTCTCTCTCCCTCTCTCTTTCTCCCTCTCTCTCTCCCTCTCTCTCCCCCTCTTTCTCCCTCTTCCTTACTCTCTCTCTCTCCCCCTCTCCCTCTCTCCCTCTCCCTCTCCCATCCTCCTCCCCCCTTTCTCTTCCCCATCTCGATGGATCCTCATGGGTTTTGTTTTTTTTCCAAGCATGGTGTCAGCCAGGATATAATTGCCGAAGGGAGAACGCAATCATGCCTGATAAAGATGATTAGAAGACTCAACCTCATCATGACCAACAAGCCTCTCGAATAATAAAATGACCGCTTAGTTAAGTGATTTGGAGAGATTGGTGTTAATCAACGGAGAAGCCGTTTTCATTCTCATCCTCCTGCAGGTAAGTGGAAACCTGCTCAGTTGAATTCCTCCTTTTATTCCAGAGTTCAAAGGGAAGGACACCGTGCACCTTTCTTCAATTTCACCTGGATAACCTCTTCATGACGTGGTGTAAAACACACGGGGGACATTGAACATACAATGGTACCTTGGTACTCAACTGCTTTGAAACTCGTCGAATTCGGAATTCGACAATTCTTGACGTGGAAATTTGGTCCCGATACTCATCATTTGTTTAGTACTCAAAACACAAGCTAGAATTATCGGTGTCGGCTGCCTTGTGGCTCACGACATTATTCCTTATGGGGGGAAAAAATGTTTGGTACTCATCGTTTTTGACACTCATCACGCCTCCCAGAACCAATTAACGATGAATACCAAGGTACCACTGTATCAGAAACTGTGTTTTATTGATTTGGATCGCATCAGCAGAGATCTATCTGTCTTCGTGAAATAATTACCTTCCAAAGATTTGCAGTTTTGAACATGAAATGAGAGGCAACACCTCCAACCCATTTCTGTTTTCTGTTTAACTGATAAAGGAGAATATTTGACATGAGGGGTCCTTGGTGCTCTCAGAGCTTGCTTGTTTTCTTGCAGACACTTCTGACATCATCAGTGCTAGAAGGGAGTGGGGTATGTGAGAGGGAGGAGGGGGGGAAGGGGGGAGGGGGAGGAGGAGGAGGAGGAGGAGGAAGAAGAAGAAGAAGAGGAGGAGGAGGAGGAGGAGGAGGAGGAGGAGGAGGAGGAGGAGGAGGAGGAAGAAGAAGAAGAAGAAGAAGAAGAAGAAGAAGA